AGGAATTTTCAATACAGGCTGAAGTAATAGCTAAGAATGAGTTCCACATCCCACAGTGCTGTAAGTTCCAAAGAGCTTGGAGCCTGAAGGATGTCACAAATCAGACAGATGGTACAGATTCATCATTTAGAAATGCATTTTCAAAACAGATGTTTTACTAGCAACTCCTGAGTCTTCTATTAAAAAGTACCCATCAGAGTTCAAAGAACACTGGGCAAGATCCCCTCGGGTCTCCCTCTGATGACTCAGAAATATCATGATTAGACAAATGGGGACATAATGGAGCCCCAACAGAACACAACCATGTAAGGTTGTTTCTCTTTTGCACGAATCAGGCTATTATTTGCTCGATCAGCAAGTCTGAATCCAAAAGCCAGCTTTCCTAGAGGGTTCATATTTACAGCCAGGCTTTGAAGTTAATCCAAAAAAGCCTGTGATTCTTCTTGGCCTTTGCACAATGTCTGTCTCTATCTTTGTTGGCTGGTTGGGAAATTTGGGCTGCTTTATTTACTCAAACATGTCTAATTATTGTATGACATTTAACTGTTATTTGTTATGGGAGTTTGGGTTCTAAGGTGACAGATTACAACTGTCAAGAGACAAAGGGGTCAGTTGTTGTCACTTAAACTAAGTGGAAGAGGAAGGAGTCACTCAATACATGACAGATCTTTTGTGGCAACAAAATATACAGGCTGATCCATATAACTTCAGTGAAAAACATGAACTATTTAATCCTAGCATAAATCAATCAGTTTCAATAAAATCCTTTTCAGGTTTGCATTACCATATCTATAAGAATAAAATACATCATGACAGTGTGTTCTTGTCTTTAATAAGCACAAACAACTTCTTCTGCAGATCATCATGTCTTCATTTAGATTATGGCATAGTTGAGGAATGTTGTACGTCACCATTATCCTGCTTTCTTTGGCATATGAAAATTTTGTACATTAATTGCATGTGCAAAAGTGGTCAGGATGTTGCTGGAGAGATGGCAACTTTCTTCTAAGTTTCTTTACAAAGCCATGACTGTGGGGTTCAGTCTGGCCCTTGATCAATCCTTCCTGATTCACAATCATAATAATAATTCTGATTATTTTGACTGTATTTTAATCCCCAATTTGAATCTGAAGATTTCAGCCTAGCTAACAACAGAGGTTTTTTTAAGTATACTTTAGCTTCTGGAATAACCTTAGGAACCACGAGTTTGCAGACTTGCTAAGAGCAGATTACATCCTTTTTAGGAAATTAATTATGCTCTACAGTCTTTTATGGTGCTGGATATATAACTGTTAATTTTAAAAGCAGCTGTGAAAAAGGAAACTTTTGAGATGAGTGGGAGGAAGGCAACCAGACACTAGGACACTATTTACTGATGCTCTCTTCTCTATATCTAAGTTTGCATGTGAAGCAGGGATCATGTTATTCTGGCAACACTTCTCTGGGGAATACCTTGGTTTACTTAGAAAAAAAAAAATTCTGTTGCTTTAAGTGGAGTTTTCTGAGCCTTTACAAGGCTTGCAGTGTACCATTCAAAGTAAACAGAAGTGTTTTCTATGGATACAGATAAAAGGTAAAATCACAGCCCATTAAAAGTCTCATTTGATAGCAATGTAAGGACAATGGACTAACAAAAAGATGTTCTTGTAGGAGTGTTTCCCATGAGGTCTCTGCACCCAGGAAGTCTACATGATGGCGCATCCTTGTCTGCCCACAAGCTGGTGTAAGGTTCCTTGGCTGCCTTGAGCTCACTGAGTGACAGGAGGTACAGGCATTGCAGACAGGAGCAAGGAGGATCTAAAGGGTCTGCAGCACTGGCATTGTCTGCTGTGTTTACACACACCCATGTCCCAAGGCCCAGCTTTCACCCTTCTCTCCCACCCAGATCAGAGGTAGAGCAGAGATGTTTCAAATCAGCTGGACAATGTATCCTCTAAAGATACCTTTCTGTCTTGTCACAGGCTACAGAGTTAGGCAACCAGCTTTATCATCAACTTTCAGATTACTAAAATTAGGTAAAATGAGTCCCACTGCTCCTCCAATAAACATGTCATTGAATTTCATGTGGTTATCCTTGTTCTGAACCTAAGTCAGGTTACATAAGGTTACAGCCTAGAAACAGATTCTGTCATTAGTAAGAGTAATTAAGAAAAGGAGATTTCATTTCTTCTGTAGCTAGTTTGTTCCAACTGTTACACATCCTCTGTCACAGCCAAAACTCAGAGAAACACCCTCTGTTTCTCATTAAATTTGTTTAGCTTTAATCTCTTATAGTTATTTCTTGCTATATACTAAACTGGACTTAGAGAAACTTTGATGAGGCTAATTCCCACTGAAATAGCCTAGAAAACTGGCATCCAAGGATCTGTGCAAAGGGTTTCATGTATGAGTTTGTTTTTTCACAAGACCTTGGTTTTGGCCCTTAAAGAGTTAATTAGTTTCCACCAGCAGAACGATGAACAGAAGGACTTGATGGGATATGGAATATGTCAGGCTCAGTTCCCTAAGGAACTAGCTAAGGGAGCTAAGCTTTATCTTTTGCTTAGTGAAGAAAATGATGAAGCTTCTCTGTGTTACTGTTTGCACAGTGCAGTGGTCAAAATTGTCACACATTGTTGCAGCCAAGGATAGTATCTCTGTCTCTCTGCCTGTCTATGAGGGTTAAGAATTATGAACTAGTGCAGTTAAATTCTTACCTGAATTTAACAGGGACTAGTCAGTGTATGACTGTCAAACAATCTCTTAATGGTATTATAAAAAAATTGGAATAAAATTCCCATCCTATTTTCCAATAGGTATGTTTTTGCTATGACTACAGATGCTTACATACTGGTATTATCTGTGAAAATTTTGCAAGACTTTTGCAAAAGCTTGCACCAGAAGGTCCATCCCAGTTCCCATACTTGGAAAGACAGAGAGACATTCAAGCTCTCAAGCTTTTGGGCTTAAATTAGAGCTAGAGCCTGCCCTTTTTTCGCACAAGCAGATGACTCACTCAACAAACCTAAATGAAGTACATCCAGCCTAGAGTATCAAACTCATTTGCTAAATACACCTCCTCTTAAAAGCATTGCATCTGTGTTAAGGGAATTGAAGAAAGGATATTAAAGTTTCTTGGGATTCATTGTTAAAAGAAAGAAAACGTACTGACAAATCAGGAATGAATTCACCTGGTAGCTGAAAGGATGCCCTTTGTTACTGAGCTATACAGAAATCCCTTTCTCTCAAGCAAGGCCAGATAGTAAGGATAGAACTTAAGCTCTCTTCAATCATAATGGTGTTAACAGCTTTGGCAGAAGAAACACAGAATGTGACCCAAAGTCCTGACAGACAGGTAGAAAAATCTTGCAAGTCATCCTTTCAGTAACCACTCCAACAGTCCTGCACACTAAGAGAAACCAGTGACCCCCCCCAAGAAAGTTTGTACCCACTGTGGATTTGGAGCCATGCTGGTTAGCTGCTGAGCTGGCATTCAACTTTCTGTAAATACTGTTCCATCTGTTCTTGTTTCTCCAGGAAAGCAATGTAAGCGAGGAACAATTTCCTTTGTCTACTTTCACATTTGAGGGAAGGGGGAAATTAAAAAGTGTGAGGAGCTTAATTTAAAGCCCCTGCTGTAAACTGGAGATACTCAATTCTTCTGTTGCTAGGGTAAGAGGTACCGTGGATATAAAATATTCTTCTCCCACAACCATGGGGAGCACAGGAAGGTTCTTGCATAGAAAGACTGGGTAATTCTAAATTCCTTGAAATAAGAAGGTAATAATCAACCAATTTGATCAAGAGAGGAGCTGAAGTTATTTCCTAGTAACAGCAAACTGATTATAAATTTATCAGTGTATTGCCCAGGGTTATGATATGATGACCACATGGTATGTATAGACACATGGCCAGCTGTGAGGTAACAGCTCACAGTGCAATCACTCTGCCTTATGGAATCATAGAATAGTTTGGGTTGGAAGGGACCTGTAAAGGTCATCTGCCATGAGCCTGGACATCTTCAACTAGACCAGGTTGCTCAGAGACCTGTCCAATCTTACCTTGAATCTTTTCAGAAATGGGGCATCCACCACTTCTCTGGGCAACCTGTTCCAGTGTTTCACTGTCCTCATTGTAAAAAACTTCTTCCTTGCATCTAATCTAAATAGATTCTCTTTTAGTTTAAAACCATTACCCCTTGTACTATCACAACAGGCCCTGCTAAAAGGTTTGCCCCATCTTTCTCATAGGCCCCTTTTAGGTACTGGCAGGTGCTATAAGATCTCCCTGGAGCCTTCTCTGCTCCAGGCTGAACAATCCCAACTTGCTCAGCCTTTCCTCACAGGAGAGGTGTTCTATCCCTCCAATTATCTTTGTGGTCCTCCTCTGGACCTGCTCCAACAGGCCCCTTTATGCAGTGTAAATACAAGTCAGAGCATAAGAAGTTGGAAGTGCAAGAATTTGCAAGGAGAAGTTCATTTTTCCCATGGTCTATACGGTTCCTTCTTTTTAGTAGTAAGACATAGATTGCCACTACATGAGTGTTGCATATCATATGAGCTTGATACATATTACTTGTCCCTAAACTAATGTAGAATGAGTAACAATGAATTTTTAAGCTGGACATAGTGTACACCATATGCTGTTTGGCTCCAAGAAAAGCCTTCCTTTGGGAAAGATGTTACTAATACAGAGCACATCATAGAGACCTAAGAGATTATTGCTTTGGGCCAGTCCAGGAAAGCAGAAACAAACCCAAGAAAGGTGTTTCAAAATAATCTTGGAATGTTCAGGTAGGATTCATGACATAAATTTGAGGTGAAGCAACTGGGAAAGAAAGAAAAGTAAGAAGCATGCATATAACCTGGACAGGAACCAGTGAGATGTTATCTTCAAAAAAGAGGTAACAAAAAGGATTTGCATTTGACCCATTTAATTTCATCATTTGTATTTTAAAGTAACTATTCAAATAAAATATACAGAGGTCTTTGTGTGTAGAAAGAGATTTTTGTGTGCATTACCTCCAGGAATGTTTGCGCCCAGAGTCGGGACCTGATTTTCAGGGCAGCACTCTTCCCTCTTTCCAGTTGTCCCACAGTACATGAAATTAGGACACACTTCACATTTGTACAGTTCTGTGCACAAAAGAAAGGGAAGTCATATCCATACTTTGAAAATGTATAAAATAATTTTCAAATGCTACAAATAAGCAAAACCAAATCAGCTTTCCCCTAAAGAGCTACGTAGTCTGAAATCAGTAATTTCATCTAATATACATGAGATACTCCATGATTTGTTGTGAGAACTATGATCCAAGGAAGGGACTCTTCTTCTACCAACAGTGAATGCAAATGTCTACCTGTATTACCTGTAGTAATAAAAATAAAAGAAATAATTTTCAACAATATATGCTCCAGAGAACTCTTAAAATGTCCAGGTACTTACCAACCCTTTGAAACATGTACTTTCTCTTCACCTATTAGTCCCTTTGCGATTTCAACACATTTTTTTTTATGTTCTCTGTGTATGAAGTGTTTATTCATGTTCCTAAATCTTTCCCCTCTTCAAACTCTTCTGGTTTGCCTACTGATATTTACATTATAGCAGCCAGAACATTTGCTGAGATTCATTAGTTTCTTTACTTGAAACTTATTGTCCATGAAACATTGCTGATGAGCAGTGATTCTGGCTCAGACACAGGGTTGAAGGCAAAAGCCAAGCAATGCAACTCAAAACTATATGCTCTTGAAGTCTGCCAGAAGAATGTCACAGAAAAGGTTAAAAGCTGAGTGGAAGCCACGGAAGGGAATGAGCAGAGTCTCATGGGGTAAGCACAGAAATTATGTGGTTGTTTAGGGCATAGAAAGGAAGAGAAATCCCACAGAAAAATGATTAAAAGTGTGCGTAAAAACATAAAGTTTATATATACAAATGGGGTTTATCTGCAAATTTTGGGTTTGATTCAGGAGGAGGGTTGAGGTTTTAATTGATTCATATTTTTATAACAAAGCAGAGAATCCCTCCCGTGACAGAAGGTTTTGTGATTTCAAAAGCAGAGCCAAGTTTTCCCAAGTAAGTGTATTCCCTAGTGAGTGTGAGAATGGCTGCACTACCAATACCCACACTTCAGGTAATGAGGTGATGATGAAGTATGTACCAGATCTGAAAACACCCTTAAGGAATCCTGTATCTTCATAGACAGCTTTCCCCACAAATCTCTATCTTATCACAGGATAAGGAGAAGCTCTATGATTAATCACTGCTTTCTCTATCTGCCTGAAAATGAAACTGCAAACCCTGAACTTGCAATGATAAACTTTTTTTTAAAATGAATATTTTAAAGTATCTGTTTATTTGGCTTTAAACATCCTCCAGCCAGATTTATTTATTTTGCAAGAAGGAGAAGAGCTGTTTTCATTAATCATAGTGGCCAAAACCACATATTAACAAAATAAATCATTAGTATGCAAAAAAAGTCCACTTTTGGCTGACATTTTAGGACCTGATCACATATTTCTGTTTTTCTTAGTAATGCATTTAGCCTGTAGTGATTTTCAGAACAATGTAACATTAGAACTAATGGAAGAGAAACCAAATGTTTAATAAACAGTATAAATAGAATAAGAGGTTCTCAGAACATTTTGTTTCTCTGTGAAAATGCTTTGATAAAAATGAAACTAACTTAAAATTTCTAAAAAAAATGAATGCAAATTTTAACAAATAATTATCTTTGGCCAATCAGTCTTTTTCCAGAGCAACACTCATTTTTCATGTGCACTTCCAATGTGTCAAATAAAAAATTGATTTTTATGCATCAGTGGTACGTAATGCTGAAGGCACACAGAACTGGGACATGTTCTAACTGAACTAATGACATTGCTTTTCTGTGCCTGTCCTGGAAAAGTCCTCCTATATATCCCATGGTAAGCAGTGTACCTAATCCTATCCTAATTCGTGCTGATAAAACACATATTTTACTAGAAGACTGCTCATCACAGTGCCAATCTCATATAGCAAGTACTTTGCTAAATATATTTGTTCTGTATACATTGAGCAGCTGAAAAGTCTCTGGTTCATATTTGAAATTGCAGACACAGTGCATACATAAGAACTTTGTTAACCACTTCCAGTTGGTGCAGTAATTTCTATGTTGGCAGCATATGAGCCTAATCACTGAGAAAGATAACTGATAATTAAGGTATTACTGAAGAATGGATTAAGAGTTCTGTGATATTGGCTGGCATGTCTTCGAAAGCCTAGGCATTTTTCCTTCAGCCCCAGTGGAATCAGATTCTTCCCAGGGTATTATGTTGATGAAAGAATGACACAGGAATCAACAGTGGTTATTTAAAATGAGTTCATCTACGATTTTGTTCTTAATAGCATTATGGCATTCATTACTTTCAGATTCTATCTTCTTCCTGTTACAAGAAATGCCAAATTAACTTTCAGAAGCAGTACAATTATTCTATTACTCCAGAAGACTTAGGTCTGTGAGGTTCTTTTCTTCCTACCAAATTCTAGTGATGTCAAGGAATTCAAACATGAGCTTGCAATAAACAGCTTAATAACAGACTGTGTAGCATGAAAGAAACTCTGCCTAAGGTTCATAAAAATAGATGGAAAGCACTGACTCCATCAATCCCTCAAGTGACCTCAAGGTCACTGAGTTTGAACATTGCCTCTAGGCAAGGGGAGCCAATACCTACAATGTTGAAGGATGCTAAGGATGGAACTTTGAATTCAGGAATGGAAAAAACCCTTATAGAACCATAGAATGGTTTAGACTGGAAGGGACCTTAAAGATCGTCTAGTAGCAACTCCCAGCCTTGGGCAGGGACACCTTCCACTAGATCAGGGTGCTTAAAGCCCATCCAGCCTGGCCTTGAACACTTACAGGGATGGGGCAACCACAGCTTCTCTGGGCAACCTGTGCCAGTGTCTCACCACCAGTTAAGAACTTCATCTAGTATCTAATCTAAACGTGCACTCTTCTGGTTTAAAGCCATTACCCACTGTTCCAATCTTGTTCTCTATCACAAGCATGAAAGTGGCGAGAGAACAAATGGGACATCCAAGAGCAGGCTTGTGATCTGAGTTAGAAGTGTTAGTCAGACCCATCCCCAGGCAGCCCCCCTGGGTACACCTTCTTGTTTCTGGAAAATGGAGCTCTGAAATCCCACCCTGGGTCACCTAGACTCGAACCAGATCAGGGTACTCTACTAGTAATCCTATTCATTGCTATCTCCATGTAACTAAGTTTTCAGATGATCCAATGGAACAGCTATTTATTTAATGTTTGCCCAGCTAATTCTATACAATATAATCTGAAAAATCATTGCAGTAGCTCAAGTATCTTGGACAAATTAAAATACAGTACCAGCAAAAAAAGCCCCTCACCTCTAGAGCAGGCACCAGATCAAGTGAAATCCTGTCAATAGATGAACTCTAATCAGCATTACAAAGCTCCTGGACTCCCAGCTAAACCTTCTGAAAACACAGCTGAGTCCAAATACTCAGGCACCAAACTGACTAATCAGAACTATTTTCCTGGGAGAGAGATCATGGCTTTTGCTCCAGCATTTTCTGGATTGCTGAAAATGCAATAAGCTGTCCCATTTTCCTTGCTTGTGGTACTGTAAAGGGAGAGAGTCTTACCTTTTCATGTATATGTAAGTACTTACTAGAGAAAACAAATGCATTCCAAATATTTGTATGTCAGAAGAGTTACTTGAGATGCAAATGTTAATTTTAAATGTGAGCTACTCCTTAAGAAAGACCTGGAATGCTAGGAGTCCAGTTAACAAGAAGAGATCTACTCTTTAGAGGTCAGAGCCTGGATTTCATTTTGTGGATGAGGGGCTCATTCTCTAAATCCAAGCTGAAATTCCCTGTGGTAAGTGTGCCATTGTGTGACCACAGAGGTCTGTCTAGAATGGTCGGGAGTAAGACAGTCAGGAATTCAGCACATGTGACCTTCAATGTAATAGTCTGTCAAACTATGCCTCTAACCAGTGGCATGGGATATGTGATAAACAGCACTTTAAATTGAGGGGCTAAAAATAGCTTAGAAAAATATTTAAAAGTTTGTAAATAAATTGGAGTCAAACGAACAACCACCTTGACATACTGCATGCACAGCCCCAGCTTATAGTTTCTAGACAGCTCACCAGTATTTTTGCAGAGTTTTTCCTGTGAGATTCTGCCACTGTGACATCCCTTCTCCTGATGTAATGAGAAATTGAGGAATTATACAAAAAAGCAGCAAGTTCAGGAGTGTCTTGTGGAACAGCAAACTGCAAAGAGAAAAACTGTGAATGGTAATGACATACTCATACAATGATTCTAACAGATTTGTTCCTGTGTCAGAGGCCTTGAATTTCAGATTAACATTGCTTTTTCAATATAACAGCTCAGCCCTGAGAATATGCTGTCTTCTACTAGGAGTATGAGGAGTAATAGCCACCCCAGTTATAGGAACTACAGTAGACAACATTTTTTTCCACTTTTTGCGGGTGTCAATTTAATTGCTTTACTTAGACTCCTGGGGCCAGATTCTCATCTCTGTAAGAGGATAAATTCAAAGCTGCTGCACGGAAATTTGGTCATTAGTCTGTCTATTGAAATACAATGATTTAACCAGTTTTAGAATGTAGAAAAAAAAAAGGAAATCTGAATTATAAGAATACAAGTTTTGACCATTATTTGTTAAAGATTTCTTTTGGTACCAGCTCAACTTCGCATAATGCAACAGTTTGTTCATCTTTAATCTCCTATTAAAATGCTCTTCAGCTTTATATTTACAGATTTCTAATCTCCAATTCAAACTTACTTCTTTTTTTGTTGTCAGCTTACAGAGCATTTATGAACACTTGAGATAGTAAATCTCTCCCTCTCAATGTGGTCATATGTGGGAATTCTCATTCTAGGATTCTTTCACCAGCACATATAGCTTCTTTAACAATTACAAATTAAAAACCCCACAATATAATGATATGCCTGTGACAGAGCACTCAATATATGATCACAACTGATATATATGTAGATCCATTTGAATACTAGATAATTTTTATATTTGCTTTTGTTTTTATTAGATCCTGGATACTTAAGCATCTTCAGTGGTGAATTATTACAGCAAAACTTCAAGAACAGCCCTCTATGGTTAAGAGAAAACATACACATCTCCTGCAAGAATGTAAAAGCAGAATTTCTCCAGTGGCCTAGATGTTCCGGTTAAAGATATTATTTTATCCTTCTTGAGCCATTAGCATGGAGTTGTATAACTCTGTAGTTATGTTATATGCCATATGGTTAGCACACTATACTTTATCTTAAATGGATTATCCTCCCTTTAATTACCATGGACTGTCTCAGTTTCCCCCCCATGGAACAACCATGTACTAATTTTTTCTTCTGAGCCTTATGACTTTGACCAGGTTTATAAACCTCTCCAGTACTTCACTTCTCATTTCAAAACCCTGTTTAGCTTTTCCCTTTTCCTAGCCAGGCAATACTCTCTGCTGCAATGTGTTATTTCACCAGAAATGTTATGGAAGAGGAATTTGTGTAAAAGCTATTGTACAAGAGGTGTCAGTGACCATTCAAGAGCAAGGCATTGGGTAGTATGATTTTGTCCTGAGACCAGGACTTACACACAGTGATAACAGTTTTGCAGCATGAGAAGACAGTGCCTCTGGAGGACCTTAGCTCCTGCCAGTCATGTTGGTGGATAGAGCTTACCCATGTGGTGGATTTTAGTTGCTATTTCACTGCTTCCCCAACAGATACCTCACTCATGGTACTACAGTGCTCAGCTATTGAGACTGTGCCATGTGTGTCACCCTGTACAGTCTACCATAGTTGGAAACCTACGGACACTGGAAGCCTATACTTGTGGTATTTATAGGTACACATTCCATAAAACTGCTTTTTGCCATCAGTCTGGGAGAAAAAACCCAACTCATCAGGAATACTTGCTCAGGCCAAAAATCCATCTAACTGAGCCCTCTTCTCACCCCTTCTGCTTTTAGGCAGATGTGGAAGAAAGAGTAAGAACACACACACAATACTGTCTCCTAATAGCTCTCATCTTCCAAATGTTTTCAGCTCAGGGACATCCTTATCTGTATGAAGGTTTTTTTTCATCTCTACTAATCTTCACTGGACTTTTTGTTTGCAAATATGTTCAGTTTCCTCTTAAAATCATGTAAACTTTTAACCCTGACTACTTCCCTTTGGCCACAACATCCAGACATCTAAGACCTGTCACCATGAGCCACCACTTCCTTTTGCTTGTTTTGAATCTGGCTTTCCAAGCTTCATTAGATGATCCATTAGATGTTCCTGTGCAGTGAACACACTGCATTCCTGTGCAGGAATAGGCAGAGAGAAGTCCATCCACACCCATGCTCTCTCTGTCACTACTCATTTTGGGTATTTGTGCACAGCCACCTCCTTCCTAGAGTGAAACATCACAGTGTACTGAGTTCCTCTGCAATGGAATCCATTCTGTATCTTTGATAAGTACTTTTACTCCTCTTTACACCTTTTCCAAGATTCATGATTTTGTTATCCTTTCACATCCCTCACTGCCTTCAGAGAAAGATAATCTATAGAAAAGGAAAAGTCCCTAAACAAGAGGTTTCTCACATTTGCTAAGATTGCATTTATCTTTGTGGACAAAACAACAAAGCACAAATGAAACCTTTATACAAGAAATTCAGCAATGGGGAGGAATATACTGCTTTGACTGGAACTGAACAAGCTAAGCAGTTTCAAGGGGGAAATGCCCAAGCACCCTAAGACAGCTGGGTTTGGAAATCCAAGAGAAACCAGGCATACAGAGTCCTTAGCCTTATCAGGAAATTTGATCCAAGCATCCTGTGGTTTATACAAAACCTGAAGGAAGCTGTCTCTGTATCTTCTTCCCATCTGAAGCAATAGATAAGCATTACATACTTGGAACCTGATTTGTGTATTCATCTTGTTCAGTGCTTTGAAAAACTGATATAAGGAAAGGATGTTTAAATTCCTGCAATTGAGATTGTGCATCTAAAGCAATATTCTGCTGAAACAGGTGAAATTTCAGGAAGAATGGGAAAATTTCAGGAAAAGCAGGAAAATTTCTCACAAGCTTCACAAGAATTTAGTCTTGTTTATGTAACAGATGCAATCATTATTAAGCAGGAGAAGGAAGAGCAAACTAAAAAAATAAAATAAATTAAATAATAAAACACATTGCCTGAAAATGTCATTAAGTACTGTGGCAGTGTTCTACCCAGCTTCCTAACAGAAGCTTAAAACAGAACACAGTGACTAGGGAGAGAGGATGCTGAATTCCTTTTCATGTACTTACAACCTGATCTGAGCTGGTTTCCTAGGTGAAACACAAAAATCCATTCATAATGTATTTGGTATACATCAGCTTTTCTTTATTCTTTCAAGTATGTATTGTAGTTCTGTCTCTTTAAGATGAAGACTTGTTTTGTAGCTCCTGTGGTCATGAGCAATGCCTGTCACAAGAATGATGTCTCCACTTTCATCCACTATACAGAACTCAAATCCCTCCTGGTATGCAAAAGACTTATAGCACTTCTAACATTTGGAAGGCAGCTCTCCCTGCAATATGTTTAACAAGCTACTGGTTACACTTGAGAAGTGTTGTTTACTGCAGAAATGTCTGGAATCAGGCTTGCTTAATAAATTGGATACCTTGTTTTTGATGGGATGATATGTAGAGCTGTGTTTTCCTTAATCTTCTGACTTTGAGCCAAACCAAGCTCTTTCAGGGGGATCTGCCATCACAAACATAGCTCTTAAAACAGGAAATTGTCCGAACAGGCAGGGATCAGGTTAAGAAAGCTAAAGCCCTGACAGAATTAAACCTGGCCAGGGACATCAAGAACAATATGAAAAGCTTCTGTGGGTAGGTCTCTGTTCAAAGGAAGATGAGGGAAAATGTAAGCCTTTTTCAGAAGGAAACAGGAGAACTGGTTACCTGGGATGTGGAGGAAGTTTAGGTACTCAATGCCTTTTAAGCCTCAGTATTTATCAGCAAGTGCTCCTGCCACACTGCCCAATTCACACAAGGGAAAGGCAGGGACTGGGAGGATGTAGAACTGTCTGCTCTAGGAGAAGGTCAGGTTTGAGAACATCTAAGGAACCTGAAGATGCAGAAGTCCATGAGACCTGGTACCTGAGGGAACTGGAAGATGAATTGACTAAGTCACCATTTATGTTTGAGAAGTCATGGTGAACTCTGTGGTGAAGTTATCACTGACTGGAAAAGGGGAAACATAACCCCCATTTTTAAAAAGGGATAAAAGGAAGACTTGGGGAACTACAGGCTAGTCAGTCTTACCTCTGTGCCCAGCCCGACCACGGAGCAGATCTTCCTGGAAACTATACTAAGGCACATGGAAAATCAGGAGGTGACTGGTGACAGCCAACATGGCTTCACTAAGAGCAAACCATGCCTGACAGATCTGGTGGCCTTCTATGGCAGGTTCACACCATTGGTAGATAATGGAAGAACAACCAATGTCATCTACCTGAACTTATGCAGTGCATTTGACTCTGTCCCAGACAACATTCTGGTCTCTAGACTGGAGAGACATGGATCTGAGGGATGGAGCACTCAGGGTATAAGGAATGGGCTGTATGGTTGCACACAAAGAATTGCAGTCAGTGGTTCAATATTCAAGTGGACACCAGTGACGAGTGTCATTTTGCAGGGGTTGGTAATGGGACTGATGCTGTTTAACACCTTTGTTGGTAGAATGGACAGTGGGATTGAGTACACCCTTCTTCTGATAAGAAGAGTACAGAAACCAAACATGCAACACAACTGTCACACTAGAAACATGACAGACTCTATATTTTTGCTTCTTACCCAGGAAAATGATCTTAGGGTTGTTGTTATAAATTCCCAAAAAGCACCATCCCCTTGTGAAGTGCAGGCAAAAAAACCCAAGCAAAATGCACAAAGGAATGGGAATAAAAGTGACACTCACCTTTATTTGCATTGTATTAATAGGAGAGCTCGTTTGACAGTGCAATGGTCCATGTGTCTGAATGTGAAGAATATAAAGAAGAAACTCTTCTCGACTGGACACAGGCCAACCCACATGGAGAACTGTATTGTTGATGGCACTTGGTCCTATATTGTGCAGCTGTCAAAGAAATATCATCAATACTTTCCAAGGCACTAAATAACAACAAAACCCACAGCAATAATCACTAAGATATTTTCAAATTCTTGGTGCCTACAGCCTTGAAGTGTTCTGGGAAGGATCTATAGATTACTAATATCACTTTATGGATGGAAAATCTATCGCAGGTAGGAAAGAAGGACCTCTCCACATTAGTCACAAAGCCAGTGGCAAACCTGGGAGAACAGCCTTTTCTGCCTGACTGTGTTCACAAAATGCATCACCTTTCCTATTTGTAGCTACATATGAAGGGTTGAAATTACCTAGAAAGGTACAAAAACCCCAACTCAAAACACACTAGCAAAAAACCACCACAGAAATATGAGCAAAGAACCTTAACAGATCAGACTTGAAAATAGTAGCCAAAACTTCAGAATACAAAAGAATCACAGTTCAGGGTGCAGGAATAGAAGGTACAGCAGAACTTAAATTAGCTTTTGTGGCTAAGAACTCTATTTTCAACATGTCTTATTTCAAATTTTCCCAAAAGAAGAAAAGGAACTAGTTTTCCTAAAGGAAGATCCCAGAATATTAATTTTTTTTTCTGGGAAATGAGCAAAGACAGAAACAACAGAAGTTTCAAAATCTAGGTTATTAAAATAGTTTCTTTATAGCACTACACAATTTGAAAATATCTAATGACCACAGGAAGTTTGGATAAGTATTATCACTGGGCATGAAGAGCTAAAGAAGCTGAACACCATGGAGCTTTATGCAAAGTTTCTAGATGTAAGAACCTCCTTTGTTTTTCAAATGTGTAGCATTTTTGTGACTGATGAACTTTATCGAGAACCAAATAAACCCCACTTTCAATCTTACATCTTCTGGGAGGGTGTTTGGCCTTTTTTATGCTTTACTGATATAAACCATGAAAGTGGTTTCCTTAATAACTGTTACTAATCACTGTAACTATTAATACATTTGAAGTCACATACACAGTTTCACAAACAACCCAAATGCTTTAGACAGGAAGATTTGTTAGGGATTTTTCAGTTTAGAGAAATGTGTTAAGATGAGAGATTCACAAATAATTTGTATTTTACTGTCTGATTTATTACAGCTTAGTATGTCATGCAAATTGTAATCTTACACTGCTGACTAAGCTAAGTTGCTTATATTTTCTTGAGTGCTACTTTGTGAATTATAACCATATGTGAAGCACTCTGTTTCACCCCCTCAAATAAAGGTCATCCATCAGAGACTAAAGATGGCCTGTAAGCCATGTAGTTCACTAAATGCACTCTTCTAAGCTGGACTCTTCTCTTTTAACTGATGAATTGTCCACAGGAAAAAACCAACAGCAAGTTAGAAATATGTGTACTGCAAACATTAAGAGTTATTTTCAACAGAACATTTTCTGAGCAATGAGGTAACAAGTTACATGTATGTCTACAATTTTTTTTCACTTAGCTAAATGTCAAAGGAAACATATTTTTTTCTGTGCACAACACTCACAGCTTTTAATAAGAAGATATTTGACATTGATTAGAATGAACTTTTAAGAACTGGTTTTAATTCTTGTCAAGCACCCAAAATGTTTATAGATCCCTTAATATCAAGGACAGACTCCGAGGATAAAGTATTATCTCCTCCACTAACATGAACAGATAATGGGGTTGTGAATTCCCAGATTAAATTTGGGTCATGTGCTAAAATCAGAATATTTACATTGGTGGCTTTATCTAGCAGCAGATAAAGACAATAAACCAAATTAATCAGGATTTCAATGGGGGCAGTGTGAGGTCCTGTGGCAACGTATATAATTTTTACCTCATAGATGTGTTCTACTAAAGGACCAATTTCTTCTTCTTTTGTAGGTTCATCTTCAGGTTCCCAGTTGTGAAGTGGCAAAATAATTGTTGGGGGGTGAGACACTCTGTAATATACAAAACAGGTTAAACCAGTAACTGTTACCAGTGACTAACTGCATTACTTTTAGAAAAAAAAAATATTAAGACCACTATCGAAGACTGAGCCCTCAAGGGTTTGTTATTTGAGCACATCGATTAGAATTAGGTGAGGTGAACATTATGATGCTCCTGTAAAGTACTACCCAGTCCTTACAGATGACTGCATTTAGTTTCATATTTCTTCTGATGGATGGTCCTTTCTGGACAAGGGAGTAACTCTAATTGGAGAGAGGAATCCAGTCTGTTGGGCATTTATATCTTTCTCAATGATGAGATATCTGAATACATTATCCACAAAATCAGAGTAATGATACATAAATAAATGTATTTTCTCATTTCCATTTAAAGCCTGTAGGTCTTTAATGCATCTTTCTTCCCAGAAATACCTTTTTAGATATTTATTTAACAGCTCTGACTGTAAATTTCTATACGCTCTGTTATTATTCTTTTAAAAAAATTGCAAAGTAGTCTAGCTCATTTTACAGGTGGGAAACTGAGATACTGTGACTTCCATAAAGTTACAGTGGAAATAAGTGTATTGAGAAAATGAATTCAGGACTAGAGCATGAAACAGTGCTCCAGACCTTCCCTTTGCTTTGCAAATGAAGTGGCAGCTAAGGCAATCCCTGACATACTGTTGCAACACGTAAATCAAACATAAATGAAGGAAACAGTGAATTCACATTTGACATCTTTCTTTCTGTCTGCAGTTTCACTTTTCCTGTCCTTCTCTGTCCAGCCTCAAGAAAGTAGTCTTCTGTTAACATTTCTATTTAAATCACAAACATTTTATTTCCCATAAAAACTGAAAGTTCCTTGTACAGGTTGCATTCAGATGCCAACTTAACCTTACTCAGTTGTTGAGAATTTGGGAAATGAGATCTCAAGAATTTCTTTAAGCATGGTAGGTGAGTTCTGGCACAGACATCTGTCATCTGCTAGTACTGAAAGCAGTTCTTGGTGCTAAAATGATATTACCCTTTCTTTACAAGGGTCAACTCTCACTCAGTTTTGCTGGTTTATAGAGTCTTTAGCTTACAAGGGTCAACTCTCACTCAGTTTTGCTGATTTATAGAGTCCTTAGCTTAAAGAAAAGCCATAAAATTTCAATGCTTGTTCTGCCAAATCTGGAATTTTGGTGACAGAAAACTGTTAAAAAACAATCATTAATGAGGTTTTTTAGAATATAACATTTGACTAAAATGATGGGACTTCTATGCAACAATGTTAATCACTTTGTGCTGTCACTGCTGCAGATTGCCCCTGGCAGAAGAGAACAGAAGACTGGATGGTTTTGCTGCAAATGCTGACAAAATACTTTAGGAAGAAACAAATTGTTCTTGCTTCCAGCTCCTATGTCATATACGACAAATGAAATGTCTGAAAGAAAATTTTCTACAGAATACAGCTTCTCAAAGCAGCAAGGAATCCCAGGAGAGAACAACGTAATACCATACAGCTAAGTACAACTCTCTGTGAAATTTAGGGTATCCTGGAGTACCCTGCAAACTCTGAACACTTCCCCAGGGCCAACAGTTTGTAGTAACAAGTATGCCAGAGGACAAATTCACAAGTCAAGCCAAATAATTAAATATATTCATTAAAAAAGTAAGTTCAGATTAGGTACTTAGCCTAACTTGTAATATTTCATAAATGGTCTTCTTTCCAATATGAATTTTAATTATTGATTGTTGTTAGAGAATAGGAACTTTCCCATATTGTTACAAAAGCCAAGATACATAGACCCTTAAGCTACCACAAAAATTTGCAAATCAGAAACTGTACATAGACAAAAATAAGCAGGCATGAGGTTTCAAACCACAGTGTTTTCTCTTATACTCCTTGTGCAGTGTTTTTATTATTCACAGGAATACAAAATGCAAAGTATAAATGTAGACATTTCATTAAAATGATTTTAAAGTATAGAAAACATTTATTTTAACATATTTTGCAGTTATTTTGAGGGCTTTTACTATTAACATGAAAGATGCAAAGTCAGATCAAATTAAAGAGAAATCCTCTTTTGACTGTTATGTTTTGAGTTTAACTGAGAATATTTTTAACATCTAAATGATTTATTAGACAAGGATTTTTCTTAGACTTTTAGGTGACAAGAGCACTGAAAAATTAGATAAACTAAGTATGCTCTACAGGAAAGGCTTATGTGGGATATAGAATAAGAGTTCTGCCAGCTGCAAATCCTCACAGTCCAAATGACTTCCTTCCTGAATCCCTCATTCCTCTTGTGCTTTTTCAGCAGTGGGAAATAATTTCAATACTAAAACTCTTACACTTTTTATAGAAAAGGTAAGCAGGATAATCAGTTATCAAAGCAACTGCTCATTGAACTATCTAAGGAGTTATCTTAATTTTCTTTTTAAGAGGATATTGAAGAAGATTTCTTCCTTATAGAGGAAGTATTTGCATGGTTCCACTGTGCCAGTGTCTATGCATGTGTTCATATGCACAATTTTGTAAGTATTTACTTTTCCTCAGTAAAATGTACAATGCATCCAGTCCCACTTCGTGCAACTCCGTTCAGAGCAGTTCAGAAACCAGTGCAAGATAATTTCCAGTCCAAATGTGGACATAGTCTCTCTTTTATTTTTATCTTGGAAATAGTGAGCAATTCCCTTGGAACTGCATGTTTTAGCATCTCTGAGTAATTAGCAAAATCTGTTGACAAAGCATTTGGGAATGTTTTCCTTGGTACAAGCATGCTATAGCTAATAAGAAAACTAAAACACTTAAGAGGAAAGGAACTGGAAATAATTCAATTAAGTAATTCCTCTGTATTTAATGACCAGTTTCTTAGCACTGCAGGCAGTAATTCAAGACACTTTTTCTACTCGTCAGCAAACTCTGAAGAATTGAGGATGTTTTGGTCATTTTTTGGTATATCTATTTACCAGTTACAGATCTTTTCATTAAAAAGAACATACTATGGCACAGAAAGAACATGATGGAGGAAAAAGTTTCCAAAAAGTTTGCAAACAAAAAAATTTTGTAAGATTTTTCTGTGAAAGTGATGAGCAAACTCACAAAAAACCCCAGAATCCACAGCAGTGGAAGCAGCCCTTACTGAAAAGTCCTGTGTATGTAACCATAACTGTTCCATTGATGCATTGAAACTCCAGCCAGTTCTTAACCTGGGTGTTCACCCATGGCAAGATCTAGCAGCTGCTGGCTCCCAACATTTCCTCACACATCTGTAGCCTATTAAACAAAACTTTTGATTCTTATTTCCTTATCCTCTACTTCTCTTTCTGTGTTACTTCACCATCATCTAGTGTCTTTCACCTCTCATTTCCAGCTCATTTCCCTAGATCACTACTAACTACAGAAAATGAAATAATATTCTCACTTCTATTCTTATTCAACATGTTGTCTTTGAAATGCTCCTTTTCCAAAATATAACCATTAACATATATACGCACAGTTTTTGAGTGTCAGACCTCTTTTTTTCCACTTAACTCTAGTTTTAGGATTAGACTTCTTAATTTGGAATTCATTTACAAAATATGATGGAAAATACTTTCAAAATCTCTCTGATTTAGACTGAATATTAAAGCAGGTAGATTGAATATTATTAGAGCAGAAAACATGTTCTCTGTGATCTGCAAAGTTCTTTGACTTATTGTTAGCACTAGGCAGTCATATTGTCTCAGAAGGGACAACAATTAATTGATTTTTATAAATTAAAAAAAACCCCATAAATAAATGCATTTTTATTTGTTTACACCTAAGGCAGCCCCTTGCATATAAGAGACATCTACCACTCTTGCATCAGTCAAGCATCATGGCCTGGCTGTGGGAGTTAAGTTGGGCTGTGCAGCTGCTGTTCTCCCCTTGAAGTGTTGATAATGGTTAAGATCTTGAGCTGTAGTCTGAGAAGAGATGTAGGAAATCTAATATCCCAGACAAAAGCATTTGCTTTAAAAGAATACCCCACCAGCTTCCTCCAGGATGCCAGGATAGGAGTCTAGTTTCAAGATTTTGCATGGTAGTCTGATATTTTTATAGAATGTTAGAATAATTTATGTTGGAAAAAACTAGTCTGACCATAAAAACTAGCACTGTCATGTCCACCACTAAATGACATCCCTCAGTGAACACCTCTAGGGCTGGTGATTCCACCACTTCCCTGGGCAGACTATTCCAATGTTCAACAACCGTTTCTGTGTAGAAAATTTTCCTAGTATCTAACCTGAATCTCCCCTGGCACAACTTGAGGCTGTGTCATCTTGTCCTACCTATCTCTTGCTACGTGGGAGAAGAGACCAATCCCCACCTGACTACAATCTCCTTTCAGGCCTCCCTGAGCTTGCTTTTCTCCAGACTAAATGATCCCAGCTGCTCCTCACAAGACTTGTGCTCCAGAACCTTCACCAGCTTCACTGCCCTTCTCTGGACACACTCCAACATCTCTATGTCCTTCTTGCAGTGAGGGGCCCAAAAATGAACCCAGTATTGGAGGTGTGGCCTGACCAGTGCCAAGTACAGGAGGATGATTACTGCCCTTGTCCTGCTGGCCATGCTATGTTTTATACAAGCCAGAATGCCATTGGCCTTCTTGGCCACCTGGGCACACTGCTGGCTCATGTTCAGCTGCCAATTATCACCTAATTGCATTCTATAGTTTCTGAAACCAAGCTGCATATGAGAATAGAGATAGAAATAATCATCTTTGAGCATATCACGTGCTTGTTTAGTTTTGGTATTCTTTGTGTCAGTGGATAGGCACCTGCTTCAGGCAGAAATGTAAGAATCCTGCAGCAGCAGCTGGTTGACTTCTTGTCATAACTCATTCTTTACTCATCCTTTCTCCATAGGCTTCAGTGTGCTTTCTATTAGTATATGCCTTGCCGTAGTGTGTTACACCTTTCCAGTCATAAAAGTAGTAGATTCTGCCTTGGCATTCAGCACTAAGTGCCCAAGTGGTTGCACAAGGAGACCTACATATATCAACAAGTATTTTATACTGGTAACATCCATACATAATTTCTATGCCCAAATAAAATGTTGGCTCTGACTGGTGTTACTACAGTGTGAGATTCTACTGTGTGCTGTATTTGCACAGACACACAGTAAGTCCTTAGTAGCTCCATCCTGCCAGACTTGCAGACATAATACCCAGGTGTCTTGGGTGGATAAGGGATTTGGGATTAGAATATGTCAAAAGATTCACTGTATGGGATTATTATATGCAGAAGAATTCAATTTAAAAAGTAGCTATTACAATGAGTTGAAATAATCAAATACTTACCCTCTGATCTGTACTTGAGCCACAGCACTGATGTTGATAGGGAGGTTAACTAAATTGCTGGTGGCATTTATCTTGTTAGAACTGGAAAAGATATGTACAGGGGTTAAAAAAAGGTTATTCATCACAACTCTAGACTGTTAAAGACACAGAACTGACTACCACAAGGCCCACAATTAGACAGCAATGCCACTGGACATATTAGAGCATGGGCTTCCTATTGCCACTCTTCAGTCGCTGAGGACACTGGTATTTAAGTCTGATTTTATTTGAGCTCATCATATGCTTCATAATATAATAAACTCAAGCTTCCTTTAAAGAGTCCTGTGATGGATATGATGATACAAATTTTATTTTGCTCAGAATATCACTTTGTTCAACTTGGCTATCTGTATGGATTGAAGTGTCTTAATAGAACACAAGTTTGTTTCGTGCATTGAAGGAAGACAGTGTTAATAAACAAGACAGGCTTTGTAATAATAAAATTTGCTTTTATGACTCCAGACTTATGCTTGACAGTCTTTGAGGAAAAAGAACTAAGATCAACTGTTTCTTTACTTTTCTTAGTTTCTTTCCTCTCCTCCCCTGTCCAGAGAGTGTTTATACTCTTAATCCAATTTAGCAGTGAAAACATATCCTTATGTTTAATGTCAAGTGCTCTCACTCCTGTTACCATCTTTTCGTATTGCAAATCCTTAGTAATAAGCATAGTTGCTCTTATTTCAAAAGGCCACTCCTATGACTATAGCCCATTCATGTAAAGGAAGGTTTGCAGGTTCAAATTCATAGAATCATAGAATTTTCGGGGTTGGAATGGACCTGACAGATCATCTAGTCCCAACCCCTCCTGCCATGGGCAGGGACACCTCCCACTAATTAACTATGACTCAATATTCATGAAGATAGTGAAAATAAATAATTAGAGACTTAGAATATATTTAATTATGGAACTAACGCTAGAAAGTTATGGATGCTTTTTTCAAGGAAGTGTGGACTTCCTTGCTTCATGGAGACCAAGTTTCTACTGCTGTCACAGTTTGCTGTTATCACATCTGGGTAGCATCAGTCAAATGGAAACATTCAGAGGAGGCCAGCACTCCCAGTGACTGACTCCAGAGGAGTAAAGGGCAGTACTGCTTTCTGGTTACAGATTGCTAAAAATTAAAAGCAGCTCTAACTTGTTTGTAAACTGATGCAGATTCCCCTCAAACATTATTTGAGCCATTGTTTTGAGTACAAAAGTACAAAAAGTGCTCAAAGTATAAAAATTACCATACCACTACTTTGTTAGAATAAGCTGCTCTCCAATTTGTATAATGGTTCTACTTTCCATGGAGTTAAAATACAGATTTTGATCATATCTATCTGTTTCTCAAACCTTGTTCATGCTTTATGGTTTTTTTTAGAGAAGAATATAGTTTAAATAAAAGTGCCAGGACATCTCTCTCTCTAAGGTGTACATAAAAAAGGAATCAGATTTGAAGACACGATTCAGCTCTTGCTTGTTTCCTACAAGTAATGAACTTCAGTCGTGCAAACCAAAATATTTATTTTCCACTTGATGTTTTGAAGCAAATGAAATGTCTCTCTTTTGGATAAATCAGACTAGGACACAATTTCAGATGTGTTCTTTGCTTCCCTTTCCTTTCGTATAGGTAATCTCCTCTTTCTGCCTCATGGATTTCTGTTCCTTTTACTTTTAGGATTGTTTTGCCTGTCCACTGAGGACATAGAAATGCACAAACCATAGTGCTGCTTGAGAATTAATGTACAAAGCAGTGAGTTTTAACTGCAGGGTACATTCTCCATGCAAGAAGTTTGACTCTTTTTTCTTTTTTTTATCTGGGTGCTCTTCAGCATTTTGATACCAGTTAGTGGAAACTGTTGGATTTTGTAGCCAACAGATTTCCTCCCTTTACATTTTAATGAGTCATATTCATGAGATGTTGTTTCCTGAAGTTCAGACTTACTCCTCAGTTAAGTCTTGTCACTTTTTCTAAAAAAAGTGACCCACCCTCAGCTCTTATTACCTAGAAAGATTTAGCTATTGAAAAGCTCTAAAGCTCTCAAATTTCACATCATGAAAAAGGTAGTGACATGAGTCTCTGATACCCATTTAAAACTATTGCTTGCATTAAGTAGCATGGACAGGGGAGCTACAAGCTAAATGTGTCTCTCTCCAGAAGAGTCCATGTCCAGGTTTGCATGATGTCCATCTTGCCAGTCAGATTCCTGGGAGAGGGCTGAGGACTGACCAACCACCTTGTTGACTTCTGTGGCATTTCTGTGCCCTTCTCTACTTTCTGCTTGTCCTTTCCTTCAAGCGTTACATTACAAAAACATGACTTAAACGTTTTAAATGTCTCAGTTATTTACCATAATGAACATGATCAAGGCTTTCATTAAGGCCAGACATTAGCAATTAAGCCCCTCCACGTGGGGCAGGGAGGGCTCCATCAGGAACTTCAGTGTATATTTGTTGAGGACAGATGGAGCAGAAGCCCTGCCACCTACTGAAAATGTCCCAGGTTTGATCCTGCTGTTATTGTAACCCAGCCCACCATGTGATTTTTTGTCCCTGTGGAAGAAGTACTGCTCACCATAGAACAGAAGATTCTCCAGCACTAATATTTGAGGCCTACAAATAGGGAGGAAACGAATGGAAAAACGACAAAGGTTCACCTGCATCAAAAAGAAACAGTTCTCTCTCTTCATGCCAGTAAATCTGTTGAGCAGATTTTAACTGCTTTCCTTTGATTTTCTAAATTGTTGTGAAGAAGAGGCAAGACTTTTTTTAAAATTCAGAGCATGATGTTTGTGCACATGCAGCTTTGATACAAAGTGATCACTTCATTAATTCTGAAGGGGAAAGCAAAGTGCAAATTTGGCAAATCTGTAGAAGATCCTTGGATTGCTGACCAAAATCAGTTAACCTGAATTTTAATGAAATAAGACTGATTTTGCTCAAACCTTACAAGGCTCCAATTCCACAAATCCTCCTGAAATAAGCTACCATAGGAAAGCCCATGAAATAATTACTGACACCCAAGAGTTAGAGTGACCTTCATATATATTAAACTTCACATAGAATTAATAATTTAAATAATTATGTTCTTGATAAAATATCTAACCTTTTTATTTGCAGCTCAAAATTGATGCTGAAACCTGCATTTTCAAAATGCTGAACGGAAAATCGAATGCCTGTAGAGAACTGAGAAAGAAACAAAACAGCAGGTTACTAAACTCGGTTGAGCTTTCCAGATCAATAAAGCAACACTGTTCAACATTGCATTTCATGAATTGTACAGGATACTGTTGCTTTTTAAAAGCAGTATGAAATAATATCATCTAGTTGTTCCCAGGATAAAAGTACCATCCTGCTGGTGTCTGTCACCAGATGGAAAACTTGGCTAAACGGAGGGAAGATCAGAGGACTAGAGAAGCATATTCCCAAGAACACAGTGGTGGGCCTTTCTTCATCCAGACAGTCTTTGCCTTACTTTGCCAAGCCAAAAGAAAATAATAGCTGTCTGGCACCTCCCTGCCCTGCCTCCATCCATCCATGCCTTTGCCCAGGTCTTCAGGGCTTCCTGCTCCCCACATTGTCTCTGCAACTATGACATATGTGCTGCATGCTTTAGGTGCTGTGGGGCTAACTGACCTCCTGAGGCTAAATTAGCACAAGTTAATTTAATTTTAGATTGATTTGGTTTTTAGTTGTTTTTTTTTCTTTCTGGTTATGTTAAGAGGAATACAGCTTCCAAGTTGTTTGCTGTTCAGTTTACCACAACTTGCAATGTGTGACCAGAGGAGATAGTGGGTAAAACACAGTTCCCAAAACTGAAGGAGATAGTGCTTCCACTGGTGCTCACTTGTGTTTATGCAGACCTTGCTTCCTCCCTTTGACAATTTCCATTTGCTTTGCAAGAAGGACATGGAGTAAAGCAGAACAAGTTAATTCAGAAGAGAGAAGGGCTCACTTGAGAAAGTCTCTGTAAGCCTCTTGTTGGACATATTTACAGCCCCAGCATGTAGATGGCAGGGGAGCAGGGAGAGAAGCCATCTGCCTTCAATGTTAAATTAATAAAATTCTACTTTGATGTTTATAATTGTTTCAACTGCACTTTTTAAAATCTGATGTGAATTTTTCACTTCTACAACTACTCACTCCTTTCATTCTACAACTGTTCACTGCTTTCATTCTTTTAAAAAGGATGATTGCATATAGGCATACTGTCCATGTGGAGAAACAATCTTCCTGAGAAATTCATCAAAAGCTGTTAGGAAATGAGGACATCATTCCCTCATTTCTGCCAATATCTGACTAGATTACAGGGAGAAAAAAAATTTAAAAAACAGAGTTGTCTGCTTGGAATAATTTCCTTAAAATGTTTGGGGAAACCTTGTTGGCAACAGGACAAGACACAACAATGTAGGGCTTTATGTTTGAGACCTACTTTCAACATCACTGAAGAGGAGGAATCTTCCTCTGTAAATGCAATTTCATATACTTAAGCAATTCCTTTTTCTCAACCATTTTATTTTCATTCCATTCTCCTTCTTTCTTTGCTTGCAGTGGTGAAACACCGAATTTTAATCCATCTCCAGAACAAGACTTACCTAACATGTTTCAACTACTTCTTTCAGTTGGCCTATGATGTCATAATAAAAGAAATGACAAGTCTAAATCCTTAATTCTAACTAATATTGTAGGTATAGTTGATCTCTAAGTAAAATCTTTCAGATGAAAAGACAGTGCTCATTATATTACTCAGAATTTGAGTAGTTGATTTGGAATAGAGATGTAAGGTTTTTTTTAAATTAATTTTTGGAGATGATATTAACAACTGTATTGATATTCCATTCACCTTTAAAAATATAATGACTTGTTTTGGTATGTTAGACAAAAATTTACAAATATTCAATTTACCATTTCTCTTACTGGTTTTACTAACCAGTCTAAACAAATTTGTTTCCACTTTCAGCAGAAAAGATTTGATGAATCAAAGATAAGACTTTCATCAGACAAGCAGACATGAACTACAGTTTTGATGATCTATTACACCCCTGAGACTTAATCCCTTATTTAATAGTGAAACACATTCCTACTGTACTACTCTAATAAGCTGCAGATGTTGTATTTGTATGGTTGCATGACTTTGTTAATGTCAAGTAACCCTTGACACTGATACTAATAAAGGGGCAAAGATGCTCACATACCCTTGTTGAAAACCTTCTGAGGCCAAAGTAGTTTAATTTGCTTGAACTCGTAACTTAGCAATCACTCAACCTTATTTTAGTAGGACATACATTTTATCAGAATAGTTTAGTTCTATTTAAAACTTTTCAAGTGAAGTTGTTTTAATTAAAACTGTATTATTTTTTGTGTTTGTAACACTATGTATCTTTGAAATACATGACATTTCTTCATTATTGATTAGCTTTAATCTGTTACTATGTTTGACAGGATCTAGCGATATGCTGGGAAACAGATAGCTTTCATGGAAATGTCTTAGAGTGGATATGAAAGATAAGTGCATATGAAAGATCTCACTTGCTAAGGCCACTGAACAGGCATTAGGAATCTTGACAGTTTGATTCATTTCAGTGTCACATATCAGTACTTTGAGCACTATTTGGCAGTGAGATGCTATCAGACAGTTTGCGTTCTGGGCCATGTGGTATTGTGATTCTCCATTACCATTTCTATTTATCTCCTTTTTTTACTTTTTCATATTTTTTAACCTTATAGATATTACTGAAAAGATTAAGGGTTTGAGGTTTTTTGGGGGCCAGTAAACAATTTCAAGGACACAGATGACAATAATGCATTTTGATGACATGAAGTGTCAGATCACCCTGTAGCCTGCTGCAGTGATATCCCCTGGGTTGTATCACAAAATCCCAACATAACCCTCACCTCATTCTCAGAAGCTGATCTTAGAGTTCAAGAATTCTAGGATTTCAGGGTGCTTAAAAGTCATTACAGTGACTCAATAGTTAAGATTTTTAGGAATTTTCAGTATTGACCTAACCCCCCTTTCCAACTTGCAACTTCCACAGAGTCTCTTTCTGACTGAGTATTTTGAGAACAACTGATCTCCTGCCAAAGCAGAATTGTTTTTCAAAATTGGAAATGGATCAGAGCAACCTTTTCTGATTTATGCAATTTGGTATTTTGCTTTTGGAAGTGAATTTGCCATCATAAATATGTTTGGACTGAAAAAACACAAGTCCTTTCACCTTTACCAAGCTTCCAGGAGAGCTGGTTACAAAGATAAATTAGGATTTAAGACTCAAACAATTGGGTTTTTTTGCCAACTGGCTTTGTAACGTTCTATCTTCATATGCTTCAATTTTCGAGGGTTGGATTATTTTGTTATAAACCAGAATATCCTTAAACATGTTACAAAATCTGCTCTTTTATTCTGCTACTTTTAAGTCTCTCTTTATGAGGTATTTTGATCAGGAGTATTTGGTAATGGCATTTATGGCAGCCCTAGAACTAATTCTGAAAAAGAAAATCTTAGTTATGCTATGAAAATTCATAAGGAGACAGGTGAGAGTAGCACTGCTTTAGTGGCCACTCCTCAAATCTTTACACTGCTAGCATTTTGGGTCAAGCATAAGGTGGAAACAGGGCTTTGGATTCAAAAGGAGGAGTGTGAGGGTTTGTAGTCTAATACCTCCATACTCAGACCTTTCCATGGCTTGTGTTTATGACAACATGGGAACCACAAAGATTTGCTTCTAGCTTGGTATACATGCTAGCATCTCTTGTGTTCTCTTGTGTTTATTCTTCCTTTTCTTTCTAAAGGGTTTTTATGCTCTTCTGTCCCACTTCAATGCATCTCAGTCTCCCACAAGATTCTTGTCCGCTTCTATCTGTATCTTTTGCTTCTGCCTCAAGACTAACCACGAAACCACTAAGCAGATAACAAAAATTGCTGGTTTCTCGGTACAAAAAATTATTTCCCTTGACTGGGAATCTATTAAGTGCTTCAGCCTCTCATTGTCTCCCATTATCCCATTATGAAAATTCCACTCCTGAGAAATTTTTCCAATTACTCTTTTTAGGAGTTTCACTTAGTAGAAATAAACAACACACACAAAGTCTTTTAGCTCCCTTGTCTATGTCCCTTCCAGAAAATGATTATAGTATTCAGACTTCTAGTTCACAGTAGTTCTACAGAGAAGGATCCCCATTAGGCAGATTCCTCCTCCCAGGGGGTGCATCATCTGGAGTTCAGTTTTCAATGATTTTCAGCTCCTTGTAATCCCAAAGACCCTCTGGTACTGCCTGGGGCCATGTAAGCAGATGACTGTATAAGACACCTGCTCTCACTCACTTTCAAAAGTTCTATGGCTGATTTGAGGCTATGCCCAGGATCCAAATAAACTTATTCTAGTCCCAGTCTCCTATGATGTAACTCATTTGGTTCTTTTATTGAGGGTCAGATGGGAACTGCTTCAAGACCATAAGAGGCCAGGAAAAAACCCCTCTATAAAGAGTCTGAGGAGTGAAATATTGATCTTTTGTAGGACACACCTTAACTTTGTAGAGATTTTGAAAATACTAAGGAAATTTACTTCACTTTTCAATTTTCAATTGAAAACTGTTGTTTATTTATGATATATGTTCATTCTGTTGACCACCTCATTTTTATTAAGACAACTTTTTATCTAGGTATAAATGTTTGGATTATTTGCTTTTAGTTAAACATTCATAGCATTTATGGATTTATGACCAACACTAAATTCCTCTCCAAGAGCATCCATGGCTGAACATTCCTGGATTTAACACTTCTGGGATTGCTCAGAATGGTTTTGTCATGAAACAGGACAAGGGATGACAACTGTGGAATGGGTAGCTCTTTTTAATCTCCAAACCTCTGTTTAATCCTTATCTATTGTCCATCATCAGTCATTATTCAGTTCTGCTTTTGTCTAAAAACAAGGCTCCCAACACTCCATTTAATGTGTAGTATGATTTATGAGAGGCTGTCTTAGGAAAATGTTTAGAATTACATGAATAACTTGAAGAAACACTTTATTCCAACTGCATTTTCCTGGATATAAATGGTGATATAAACTGATAAGAAAACCCTTATGCATGCAAGATGAGAATTAGGCTAAAGAAGCTCTCAATTAGTATATATATCTTAAGCAGAAAGAATACTAAAATGGACAAATACATATCACATTGTGGATTGGGATTCTCTTCTCATTACACTAGTGCATCTTCAGTGACTTAAATTGAGTCACTTTCATTTCTCTTCTCATTACACTAGTGCATCTTCTGTGACTTAAATCGAGTCACTTTCATCTTCATTACAGTAAGCAAAATAAAACACAGGTTCTAGCATAATTAATCTTTTAGAAAAACAAACTGTTAGTTTTTCAGAAGCACAATTCTGCCTCTTATTACACCAACAATTTCCTGTCCAAGTAAATAATTTGGTTTATGTGCTGCCTTTTGGGACACATCCTGCTAACTGAATAGATTTCCACTCGTTCCTCTTTAAAATTCAGTTAGATAAAAATCAGTAAATGCATCTGGTTTTCCCTTACGTTTGCGCCAGCCACCATGGGGTTCCCAAGATCACAAACCACCATTCTAGTTTCATTTTCCATCTTGTAATCACAGCTCAATACACGCAGTGCCTGCAACAAAGGGACACCAATATAGATGTCAGAGATCACAGTGAAATGTATCCAGTTGGGAAAGTGATGCCTTTTTGACTGTGACATTTCTTTTGATTTCGGACACCTGCTCAATGCACTATCAAAACATTTACTTGGTGATTGTCAGACAACGGGGGAAAATTGATGCCAGGGAAAAACAAACAGGATAGTTTCCCAGTACCTTAAGAGTCATGATGAGATCACTCTATGTGTAGTTTTAGCATACTGCTTTGTTGTTGTGAATCATTCCTATAGCCATGAAAACTTAGAGAAAAAAAAGAGTAGGTGAAGAGAACAAGGTCTCACATTAATTGCAACAAATTGTGTTATCCATTGCTAGAGGTCTTTACAGTGATTTTCTGGCATTGGCAGAACTTTACTACGGATCAAGTCTAGACCTTTATTTTCCAGCCCACGGTAAAATACTTAGAACATTAAATACTTCTGTGAAAACATAAACTGTTACCTGTATTTATAAATTAGCAACAAAGAAGATAGGTTTTCACATTACCAGAAATTAAGCTTTTGTTGTTCATAGCAATCTTTATCACTAGTTGTATCATCTGTAAACAAAATGGACTGTGTAAAAGGAGGAACAGCTATAGAACAGTGCAAGTTAGAGCTATAGAATAGTGCAAGTTAGGAGATACAGAATAAGACAAAGCAACAAAACATGTTGGTTTTTTTCTGCTTTCCTCTCTGACATATTTAATAAAAGAATATAATTTGATACGTGTGCAGAAATAACCCACTTTGTAACAGCAGGATGCAGCAAGTTGCACTACCTTTCCTCTCATCTGTGATTCTCACAGGCAAAAGAGTATGTGCAAGTTCATGCTCTTTATATAAAAAGACCTGGGAAATCTCCAGACCAGTGACTAGCAATTCATTCCTATCTGTAAAAGTCAGCGTGGACATGCTGTCCTCATCATTTCCTGAGATTAAAAGAAAAGATAGGGCATGTCCTAAACAGAGCCCATGTGAAGCGTGCCCTCAGCACACACCTCATTGTACACTGACACTTTCACAGTTCACAAGGAGGAAACAAATTCTGTTACACACACCTCATTGTACACTGACACTTTTACAGTTCACTAGGAGGGAACAAATTCTGTTGCACAGCATGTCCAGTGCACTAATAGTCTTCCCAAGTCTCTCTAGGGCTGGGAGGAGAGGATTTTTACAATCTTTCCAGTTGTTTAATTAGAGGTGTGAAGCAACAGGTGGGAGAAGAGACGGTGTTGATACAGTAGAAATCAAATTTGTCTGGAAAACTCTTCATTTTAGCTTGATGTGTAGGTTTATAGTTTCACTTTTATTAGGGGAGGGAGGTTGAAATTGAGGTCTAAGTGAATGACTTAATGAATATTAATCTATATTGGATATTTGGCAGTTTCATTAAAAATGCTGTATCATAGACTGCCACAGAGTAAATCAGCCCTTATCACACATTTTTTTTGTCCTTCAAAGACTGAGAAAATAGAAGAGCTTTGTGAGTAGGTTTTCTACAATTTGGAGTCTACGCTCTTAGGCTGAAAACAATTAATGGTACAGAATTTATATGACCAGCATCACAGAAGCTAATTTGTGCAGCATAAAGATGTGTCAAACAGTCAGCTGTGGTAGAATCGTTTCAATAATGAGATTTTCTGCCTTTGTTTTCTCATTGATCACTTTCTTGAGGTGGATAAGTACAAAGCAGGAAAACAAAAACCAGGCAGGAAGCAAGCAAGAGCAGAGACTTCTACATCTAACATTGTCAGCATCAGCGGGTTCATTTGTAACTCAGCCAGATGGAAGGGTTTGCCACAAAACCCCTTCTACCTGTCACTGGTAGCAATTTATATTTTTATAGCAACACATGGTCTTTTTGGCAGTCTTGGGCAGAAGTAAAACCCCAGCAATTAACACATGTGCTCCCAGGGTGCATTTTAACTAGAAAATAATTGGATGCTTTAAGTAATCCAGGCAGCCTACAAACTTGAAACTCTTTTTGGTGGTCGAGCTGATGAATTATTAATTGATGCCAGAACAGTTAAGCACAACAGGCTGAACAGTAAAACACCTCCTCTCTTTCCTTGATCGTCACCTCCCAATTCTATTTTCTGAGGAAAAGTGGATGGATTAGGAACCAGTTGTCAGAATTTAGCTTCTCATCTAGTTGAGGTATGAAGAACCACTGTTTGTCCTCAAAAGGCTCAAATCATCTAGTCAGCCACCATGTACTTATTCTAAGAATTTTCTTGTAAGGCAAGAAGGATTCAGATCTTTTTCTTATTTTAAGTGTTATGCTTTAGTTCAGAAAGGCTCAGAGCTTATCAAGTGCAATACAAATCTGGATGGGATCTGCCACCACTCAGCAATTTCCAGCCTGAGAAGAAACAGTTCTGCCAAAATACAAAATGTTTTTGGTGTGGAACAAATACCTATTAGGGCTTTTTATTTTCCTGATTTACTTCTGCTAATTATTCCATCAGAATTTGGGTCCCAGCTATTGCTACTAAGGCAGTACTACAACTACTGCAACTGTTTCGCAGGGCAAAGGATTTGTGCACAATATCCAGGCACTGGCTTGGGGTTCAAACACACAGTAATGCTGTTGCAGTGTAAGGATGTATCAACAACAAGTGTATACTGTCTCTGGATCTACTCCTGGCCATGGAAATATGAAGTAATATAACACAGTTATACTTTTCTGGCTGCAGCTAATTTCAGTTAACTTCACACCTTATGCATATGAACAGTTAGTACAAGACAATGGGTTGTCAGTAAAACACATCTGATTTCATTGTAAGCCATTCTATTTCAACAATCAGCTTTTGACTGAAGCAAGTGTCTATATCTGCAGGAATCAATGAAGCTCCAGAATCACATCCTTGACCTCAAACTTTAAGATCACACACATTCACTTGCCTCTCCACTTGCATATGATCATGTAGATCTCTGCAAAATGCTACTCATTCGACACAATTGCAGAGTCTGCTTGCAATATTCTACAAAATCAGGCCTGAGATAACAAGTTAGGGACAACTGAGGCAGGTCAAACATTGTGCTGCATAAAGCTGAAGGGAAGGAATAGAAGGCAAGATAATTTCCATTTATGTTGTTGACTTCAGTACCTTCTGAGTGTAATTCAAATGATATAGAATAACCCAGTAAGTTATCTGGTTCAGTACCTTCTGAGTGTAATTCAAATTATATAGAATAACCCAGTAAGTTATCTAAAGACAAAAAGAAAAGCAGGCTGGAAAGAAAGCATTCAAGTGATAAACATGCTTCTCTATTAGGCTAAACCCAGAGTAGACCCATAATAAAGTAATTAATGTTTATAAATGTGGTTTTTTGTTCTAAATTTTCTTTTTAAATTACAAAGACTGCATATTTTTCTTTGTCACGTTCAAAGCAGTTTTAGATGATGTACAGCAGTACATAAAATCGACAGAATACATAAGAGTCAACCTCTACCAGCAGTTAAATGCCAGAAGATTTTAGCTGTCTTTTTCAAGAAAGTTACAATATCAATTTCTTTTCCAAATGCACTTAGAAGTTAATTTTTCAGTTTACTTAATGGAACCATATCACAAATATCACCATATCTGTATCACCTTAATATCACCATACCACAAATACCGTATTTTTAAGAACTATACATTTACAAACAAACGAAAGAATAAACTTGCTTTGGTGTCATTTATAATCCTTGTGAAAACTGTCCTTGAAACACAGAAGGGAAGACACTAAGAATGATGTAGATAGCAGGACTAATGTTTTGATTCTTCTCAGAAAGAACATAATGACACCTCTTTAAATGGAGTAAGTATGTAAAGTAAGAGAATATGAAATAAATTATGTGTGGCAGTGAACCAATTAAATGTGGACAATAGGAAGGCAATTCCCCTACAAATCTACAAGGATTCAGAATTGGATTTGTCAAAAAGGTGTTTTATCTTCCATAAAATTTGACAAAAATGAAGAAGGTGCATTATGTCTCCTGGGCTTTTAAAATTTTGTATTCAAAAGAAAAATACATTTTATCACTCTTTTCCAAGCCATTCTGGCTTCTCTTTATTCTTCCAAAGCACCAAAATCTTCCATGTCTTCTTTCCTTCCTTTCTCCATGAGTCTACCCTGCTGGCACTATAAAATTCTATTTTTTATTTTTTACTCAGAAAATAATAAAAAGCCCTGAGTGATTTCTCTCCAGTCTAAATTGTACAATCATAGAATGGTTTGGGTCGGAAGGAACCTTAAAAATCATGTCGCTCCAACTCTCCCGCTGTAGATAGGGACACATTCCACTAGACCAGGTTGCTCCTTAAACACTTCTAGGAATGGGACATCCAAAGCTTCTCTGGGAAACCTGTTTCAGTGCTTCACCACCCCCATAATCAAGATTTTTTTTCCCAATATCTAATCTAAACCTACTCTCAGTTTGAATCCATTCCCCCTTGTCCTGTCACTAAATGCCCTTGTAAAAAGTCCCTTCCCATCTTTCTTGTAGGCTCCCTTCAGCTACTGAAAGGACAAAATTAGGTCACCCCAAAGCCTTCTCTTTTCCAGGCTGAACAAACCCAGTTCTCTCAGCCTTTCCTCACAGGAGAGGTGCTTCATCCCTCTAATCAACCTGGTGTCCTCCTCTGGACTCACTCCATCAGGTGATGTCCTTCCTGTGCTGAGGACCCCAGAACTGGATGCAGCACTCCAGTTGTGATCTCACCAGAGTGGAGCAGGGGATGAATCACCTCCCTCAACCTGCTTGCCATGCTGCTTTTGATGCAGCCCAGGCCATGGTTGGCTTTCTGGGCTGCAAGTGCACATTGCCAGTTCATGTCCAGCCTCCCATCCACCAGCACCCCCAAGTCCTTCAAATGATAGATATGTACTAATATGTGCTGTGAGTTTTGGAATAAGGGTCTCCCCTGACATTCTTGGTAAGGTCCAAAAGAACAGCTAAAAAGATTCCTAAAGAGCAATGAAGAAAAAATGTAACCATGTGTAGTATATTAAGAAGAACTTAAGTAGATCACAATCCAAAAAACAGAGGCTTTGATAAGAGAACAAAAGGAATAGGCAACAGGAAAAGGCTGGTGTCTCTGAGATACGCTTCTGAGATGTGAATATCCGTATTCTCATCTTTGCTGACATCATTACTTCTTGTAAATTTTTTTCAAACTAGGTTAAAAGGCCATTAATAAAGTCACTGACAGAAGGAGAATGAGGAAATACCTTGTAAGTTACTTTCAACTTCCTTAAAACATTTGTCTTTTCAAAGAAAATTAACTTGCTTTCTCCCACTCTCACCCTTGAGGCCCTTCTGAACATTCCAGGCACTGACAGAAAAAAACAGGCTCATGTTGCAACAGCTTGAGAGATTTATGTGCAGATGAGGTGATTCAGACTTGCTGTCCAACAGAGAATACATGAACACTCTGCTTGTTTGCAGGATAGTGTTTCATCTCTGCTTTTAAAAAACAAACAGACCCAAAAAGGAAACACTGCATGTTCAGTACAGCTCAGCAGGACTTTGGTCAACATTAGTTCTGTGAACACTGGCACATTTTACATGATAACTGCAGTTTTGACCCACCGATAACATAAAACAATCGACAACGAAGGAAAACAATTTTGTCAAATTTATGCTTCAGTTAATGTTCAACTATTGAGGATATCGGAGGCTGGGACACCCTTTATAATGGTAACACACTGCTGTGCTGGGAGCAGTTCCCAAGTGTCTGGGGGTCAGCAGGACTCATTAACTCAGACTGGTACCATGGGATCACACATTGGAAGCACTCAGGGCATTTGGCACTATCACTTCCTACTACTGGTATGGTTTACTGATTCAAAATCCAAATGATGTGAATAGATCTAGCCCTAGGACAAATGCAACAGTATTTGTGTGGTATTATAACTAAGTTAACAGCAAGCAGATGGACATGAGCTGGTCTGAACAGAATGGTCCTGTCTGTCCCATCTTCTGGTGACATGGCAAATCTTTCGCCTAGGCTGGGTAAGCAAGGATAGCTCAGAGTCGAAGGAATATCCTTTCCTGAGGGGCACCTCACTCTGCACTGCTTTCAGCTGGTGTAACCTATGTAGACTAAGCTTGTTCTCATATCTCTGCTTTATTATCACTAACATTTTGATTTTCATTTACCTTGTTGTTGCGTTCAACCCCAGTGTAATCTGCTTCTGGTGGAATCTTTATATGTAGCTCAGCTTCATAGGCTCCTTCCCCATCATTCCTTGGATTTATTATAAGCATGACACAGTTTTCTTCTCCAATTATTAGCTGGTCTGTATCCCTGTACAGAACACACTACTTGTCAGAGGTTAAAACATGCACAATTAGGGTTTACAAATGAATAAAGCATAAGGACATTTTGCTCTCATAGCATCTGTTCCGAAAAATAATCTGTGATCACATAATAAAACATTTTCCATAAAAAAAGACCCCATGGAAAAGTATGCCAGCACCTGGGTAAAAAAGAGGTCAAGAGAAAATACCACCATGGACAACCAAAGTGGACTACCACAGAACTTGTAAATTACTGGTATAAAATTTCAAAGCCTTACTACTTTCTAACCAGCAAGAAGTATTTAGTGGAGGAATCACTTGCCACAAGGGTCTCATCAGCATTGTTTTCTGGAGGGCACAAAGGTGGTAGTGTTCCCCTCATGCTCATTGTAAAATGAATAACGACAGAAATTCTCCTGAAACCTGCAATGGCACTGTGCCCTTTCCTTTCACAGCTATGGACTGACTTTGATGGCAGATAACTGTCAGAGGTTCCCCACTTGTCCTGCTTGGAATATTTTGGTCTCCATAGGAGGAACTATTACCATATTTTGAAATTATTTTATTCTGAGATTCATTTACTCCACTGTATACTGAGTTCAGAATTGTGTTCAAAGACACTGGCACACTGAAACAAAAAAATCTGAAACTTCTTACGAACAACAATTTGTATTATCTCTTGGCATTAAGAAAACTAGAACCACTCCTAACAAACACCTGCAAACTGTATTTTCTATGATCATCATTAAACATCATGAATGTGACTTGCAAGTGTGCATTTCTGCATTTCCTGATTTTCAAGATGAAATGGATGCACAAACTAAAATCAGGAACTCAGGTTAGAGTGATTAGCTGTATTAAACAACAGAAGTGTGTTCTACATGCTTCACTCTGTTACAGGAGTTAGCAGTGCTTGGGCTTTCTCACATACAGCATCATCTATTTTATTTAACTTACGGTATAGCAGAAAGGTGCAAGTCAGGAATGCACAAGTTGTCCTCCCCACAGTCAACCAGAATGTAAGCCTGTATTATTGCAAAGAAAAAAAATTGTAGTACAGTTAGTACATGCCTCGAAGTCCAAATCACTTCATTAAATATCACTAACCTAGGTGTCTTAAATACCACTAGCACTGCCTTGGTGAGTAAAATCTCTTTCTCCTTTTTATCAGTTCCTTTCCACATGGAAGTTGGAGACTATTTAGAGTGTCAACTACATCCTTAGCAGAACAATATCATCTTTCAGGCCCTTTCCCACACAAGCTTGGCTTACATATTGTAGAATGCAATCAAAACTATGAGCACAACAAAGTCTTGGAAATACTTTAAAGGCCTGTTTGTTCTATATTTGTATTCAATCTACATTTTGAATTAATTAAACCCTTGTTGTGTAATTTATGGCCATAATACTCTGTCTTAAGGAAGATGACATACATACTATTTGTAAATACTTTCACATTTATGTACAGAAAATGTGGCATGCAAAATTCATACCTGTTCTGTTAATGAGTTTTTCTGGTAATAGTTCAGTATCGGCTTCACAGTCAAACTATCTTCAAAACTGGATTCATCCAAACTATAATTAAAGTTTATATTGATGGGAGATAATTTATCTCTAAATTCTGTTTCATCCTGTAAGTGACAATCACATAATAAAAGCCAATGGTTTAATATAATTATTTCAGATTAGTATGGTATGTCAACAGATTCAGACTTCAGCCTTTATTGAAGGAAAAGACACAGTTCTTTGACAGCTGCTGGCCAAATTCTGGCTGCATGTAGTGTCATGAGGAAAGCAAAGTGACTCACCAGTAACTGGAATGCCCAGAACACATTGCCTCAACAGCCCCACATCTGGAAGAAGCTGGCTGAGCTGAGTAGACTCAGAAATTTTCCAAAGCATTAGGCTAAAATGAAGCTGCTTAAAAGAGACACACTGAACCAACTCCTGGCAGCTACTGCCCACCTTCCTTTTCAAATGGAGGTAGGGCCCGTGAGGATTTGTGGAGGTAATATTGCTGGTTTGTACCATAACCAAGAATTTATATGAATTAGGAATGGTGAAACTCCACCACCTTTATTGCCTAGGTACTTCCTTACATGCTGCTTAAAACTTCACTATTTCACCTCCTGCTGCACCTTCTGGACCAGACTTGGAATCTGCTTCAATTGCATGAGGTAATTCCAGCTGCAAATGAGTAACTATTGACCCTTTCTCTTTTACAACTTCAGTCTCACAGTTTTAATTTTTCTAAAAACATGTTAAACTATCTTTAAAATAGTTTTTTAAACCATCTGACTTTTAGGTCAATATTTATTGTGACACTCCTTTAGAATATCTGTTGAAAGTGAACTGGCATGACATCTAACATGATTAGTTGATTATCTCACTGTGAATACTAAAAAACACAGGGATACTAAAAAGGGAAAGCAATCTTGCATTTTTGTATCAGGATATGCAGTATTTGATCAGAATTTCCAGAAGAGCATGAAATGAATGTATTTTTACACAGAGAAACTGTACACTCTTCATAAGAAGTCTTTCTTTTATACTTATATTGAAAAAAGATGAGCCAAAGATTAACATCTGGAATTTTTTCAAGGCAGCAATATGTTCTGGGCATACTGGACATAGAGATGAGGCCTATCTTATCTCATATTTCTGTAATTTTGGAAATGTGCTTTCTTTTCCAGTGGCTCCTTTTTTATTACTATCTTTAAATCCCTGGTACTACTCAAATGATGATGACAGTCCAAAATATTTTAAAGAGCTTACTCTGAGATAAACAAGGAAGTCCTGGCAATGGAGCTGTTTCTGTCTTTCTATCACAATGGAGAAGTAATGATGTGACTGATGGTAATCAAAAAAGAGGGTCCTCTTAACAGCTCCTTTCTGTTTCAATGAATCTAATTGCAGTTCACCTTTCAGCACTAAAGGATACAAATAAATAAAGTATTTATTTAAAATGGACAGAAAAAACAAAACAATTAAATATACATTATAATTAATTAATCTAACAAAGTCTTCCAAGGAAAACTAATTCATGCTTTCAGTGCCTGTTTAGCAGCCCACTAGTTTTTGACCCAAAGTATGGAAGGCATGTAATTAAAGCTTCTAATTTAATTGACAGATCATACATGTACAGGACTTCCATCTCTTAAATTTTTTTTTTCCCCAAACAGAACATTCTCCAAAAAGACACATTCTTGGTTTTATTTGGAAAATGGTTTAATCTTAATCAAAAATCCTTCAAGCAAGTAATAGAAGCTTTGTGGTTTATACAGACATTTTCTAGCCTTAGGAGGATCTCACTCCCATTATCTTTCAAAGTATAAGAAAAAAAATACATCCGGAATGAAGTGGGCCCAGTAAATTATAGGAATATAAAACATTTCTTACCTATCTCGTCTGAAATACTTTGACCTTCAAAATCTGCGCAGACTCTTACAGTGAAGCTACATAAAAAGTAGAAGTAATTATTAGCAAAGAGAGAACTGACCTGGGAATTAGCAGTTCCTAAGTGATATCTTTTAAATTTTATTTTCAATTCCTTAAAAAGATGTTAATTGAGAGCTGTATTTAGTTACTGATGACATTTCTTAACTATGTTAGCAAGTCTCCTAGGCTTTGGTAATAATCACAGAAGACAGTCTCTGAGTATCTTCCTGGGAAATGTACGGAGAAGAGTCTGTGTTCCCAGTAATTCTTGACATCACCCTTCTAATACTATTGGCAAAGTTGGGGTCTTTATGCTGAGCTTTAGGGAACCACCTTGGTATGAGGTTGTTTGCAGAAGTCCTTTCTAGTTCACCGTGGTCAAATCAGAAAAAATCTTTGAGCAAGTAATCAAGACTCAAGCTGTTTTCTAGCAAATCAAAACACTCGGGATACCAATGTGTTCCAAGGGCATTGCTGTAAGATTTTCATTATTTCAAGATGCTATAATTAATTGCAAACATAATAACTGAATTGTTCAATTTTTGTGGCACAAGACTAACCAGGCTGTATAGTATTTAATTAGCTAAGTTTTGCAGAATGTGGCAGGTACATGACCTGAATCAAAGCACAGAGAAACTGGTTAGTCATGTTATTTCATATTCAAATGCAACACATTCTGCACAAAGCAACATATTATAAGCTAATTGTTTTTATTTTGCCTCTTCCTAATGTACAGCAAGCTTTTTTTGAGCATAGCAATATTCATATCACAATTATAAGTATTTTCAAAATGTCACTTCAGCCATAATTTGCCATTTCTCACAATAAATATTCACTTTCATTTCTCTCTAAGACTGGCAACAGATTTGCAATTATACTCAACAACAGGCAGGAAAAACCTTTTATAAATTTCTTGGCTGATACCTTCTAACTGGACTTGCTACAAAATCAATTTAAAAACCCTAAAAAACCTGATGATTATAGAACAGTTTCACTTTGTAAGGAATCTATGTAAGTTTTATAAATATTTAACTGAATCACATTTTTTAAAAGCTTTCACAAATTACTCTGGATGACATGGGAAATAGTATTAATGATGCTTGTTGATGCAATTAGCAGAGCATACTTCCTTGATTAGTGACAAAATGATTAATCTATCATTGGAACCATGTTTTTGATTTTTGATTTCTGTTGTCACACTCCACAAAGACTTAGTTCTCCACAATATTTTTCCTAAAGAAGTCCTGTACAAGTGCTCAGGTGAAAGTTTGGGGACTTTCTAAAACTTGTAAGCTCCCCTGGTTACCAATCATTCTTAAAGAAAATTTTCATGGCTTCAGAAAATGTTTTGCTTGGTATATGAATTGTACGTCAGCACTGAAATCAGCTTGAATTTAATAAATATCTGCATTAGCCATTGCTCTTCATCTCCTCACTACTGTTATACTATATACTAACATCCCCATGCAGCAGATACAAAACCTTTGAAAAACCCTCTAATCACATTCTAATTTCACTTTTACTTCCTCTGACAAATGTAATGAAACTGTGCCACATTTGGGATTTATGTCACTCTCATGACCTTTATAAACACTTTTTTTAATGGGGGCAAAAAAAAGGGCATTGTTTCTTAAGGAAAAAAATGGCATTATATCATTAAACTCAACTAAACTGTAGCCTTCAAATGACAATCCTGTCCATGCAGAAATTCAGTCATATTCATACTTCTTTACAATTATGAAGTAACAGTTGAAGAACCAATAATACACCAGGACAAAACAACAAAAATGAGGAAAGCTTGTGTAATTACATAAATGCAATTTAGACATCAAGCGTCACATGTCATAGCATAAGATTTACTCCTTCCACTCCAGGCAGAGCATGTCAGAAAGGGAAATAGCTCTAAATACATCAAAGATTTTGATTACCAGCCCAGATTTAGATATGCTTATCACTTTGACAGGAAGATGCTGTGGAGATGTTGAGGGATGCTTTAGCTTCAAGAAAAAGAAACCAGAGGGAAAGACAGACCACAAAAGAGGACAAGAGCTAAAGGATTTATGCAGATTCAAGATCTGACTCCTAGTCACAGTAAGAAACAAAACAGCTGAGCTTTTGAGCTTGCTTGAATGAGCAATGAACCAAACAATGCAATTAACAATCAAAGGAAGAAAACTTCAGTAGATAAGAAACAAGTGGGAAATAGTCCATCATCCCAAAGCATATGAACTTTTCATGTGCTATCAATCTTGCATCTCTGAAGGGATCCCCACATTGCATTTGTTTTGCTGTGTCTGTCATCACTAGAAGCTCATGGTTGAATAGTATTTGACTGTAGTTACAAAATAGAGGGAAAGCCTTAAAACAACACACTAGTTTTCCTTGCAATCTTGGAGTAACAAAGGAATTTTTTGAAAAATTGTTTGAAATAATTTTATGTTCTTCAGGTAGACAGAAACTTTTTTAATAATATTAGAACAAGAGGCTTAAATATATTCATCTTTCTTAAAAACTACTCTTGGCATAGGTAGGAGTCTCTTTAGAAGTCAAACGTAATAAAATTACCTAGTATCACTAAAAATGGTTAATCCTTAAAAAGTTAGTTACCCACAAATAATATTTTCCATACTGCACTTCGTATCAGAAAGAATTTATTTTGGTCTGGCTATTCTAGTAGGTGAAAAATAGAGAAAACTTACTTCAGGATGTGAAAAGGAAGGAATTACCAGATCCTATGATACATCATTTGTCATTGTTAACAACTTCTTTAGCATACAGGATTGCAGATGGAGAGAAAGAATGGATAAAGCCTTACCAGAAAGGCAGTTTAAGCTTTAATAGTATGGACTTCCATTCTGGGAGTGAGGCTGATACCCTGCAAGGTCACAAACCTCTACAGAAGAATAGCAGAAGCTGTTATCATCTACTGATAAATGACCTTTAAACAAACTGTTTCCTCTTGGAAGTAAAATATGAAAAAGGAAGTAAATATACTCCTACTATGATGCTCTAGTACTTGCCCTGCTTTTCGATTTTGTTATGCCAAAGTCTGATGCAGAGACCAACATAGAGCTTCAATGCTCAACTCACACAAATTCATCTCAACAATGGCCCTTAGGTCTATATCCACAGGGCACTGGTCACATCCTGTTTGGAGTTAGGTCAATGGGAAAAGAAAATACTAGCTGTAGAAAGGAGCAATATTAGAAAAATAGTCTGATTTATGCAGTTACGAAAGGCTGAAATATTATTACTTGTGGATTTTATATTTTTGGTAGGAATTTTGTATTCAGCTTTATTTTTTTAAGTGTATGTAGAAATGTCTCATTTACTCAATCTAGATGACTCAAAATTACAAATATTTTATTACTAGTGTAACAGTAACACATTTGGAGATAGAAGAATGATAATTATTTCAAATTATGGTTTTGACAGTAGGAACTTTTGGATGAGAAATTTTAAGCAATCTGCCTCCTGGTTTAGTGGGTTTACAGAAGGTGGATGGCTGGTTCTCTCAAAAGGCCTAGAAGGCACATCTCAAATCAGTCATACAAACCTGAAAAACACTTACAAATAAAAAATATATTCTACAAATTGACTTTTTATCATGATTGGACACTTTGGTGCTACTTTTGGTGAGTCAGGTAACTTCTCTGACCTCTGCTCCTCTATGAAATTGAAATATCAATATTTACCTTAAATTAGTGAGAGGTGAGTAAATAACATTCAGAGATGCAATTTAGGCATGAAGTAGCAATAAGGTAGCTAGTGTGTAATCATATCTCAAATGGTAATAAAAATACCAATGCATGGGAAAATTAGACCTCTCAATAGCTAGAACCCAGTCCTGGACTTCATAAATCACTTGATGTGGAAACAACTTTCGAAAAATGACAGTGTTTGATCTATTTACCCCTTTTTACAGATATTAACTTAGAAAAAAATATTTTTACATTTTTTTTAAGCTTCAAAGTTGCAGAATTTATTCCAAATTTGCTAGTTTGGGGAACTCAGAAATAGCTGCATTTTACACACGACAGAGAATGAATTACACATTTCTAGAAGCTCAGGACAATTCTCTCAGAGCTGTGCTTATGACTTCTTGTGCATGTTTCCTCTGTACTTCAGCTTTCCAATTTATATCATGGCAAAAGTAATATTTTCCTAATACTTGGAGATGTACAGTAATCCACATTATTCATGCACACACACTTCCTGAAACTTTTCTGGTAGGTGGTTTCCTTTCATTCTAATTTTGCAGTGACGGTCGGTACACTTTATACAAGTTACACAGCTGGCTAAGAGATACAGAAATCTGTCCCATGGGAAAGAGGAATTCTTTGCCTGTTGGAGTTTCCCTACTAATTGTTTTCATATGCACAATACAGGCTTATACCAACTAAGGAGAAAAATTACAGCATGAAAAATAGCAGCTGCTCTTCAGTCATTTTGTAATACGAACTAAATCTTTAGGGAACAGTATTTTAGAATAAAGCAGACAGAAATTAAATTATGAATTATAAATTAAATTAAAGCTCTTGTAGATGGGAACCAAACATCTTCTGGCTTACTGCAGCATAAAAATGAAAAGCAATGAAAAAAAGAACCCCGTGTTAAAATGGTCTAAGTTTTTTC